GTGATGTATGTGCCGAGTGCTGACAATCTAATGGCAGACGTGTTTACCAAGGCGTTGGGTCCTGCAGAATTCGAGCGCCAACGAAAAAGACTAAATGTCGAAGATGTGTCCGAGGCCTGGAAAGCCGTTGCGACTATCGTGGAGCCAATGGATGTTTGTAGCACCAGATACTGACATGGATATTGTTATGGAAGAAGCATAGTGCGACTGAATTTGTCCGGCGCGATCACGGGCATGTTGCATATCCATTGCAAGGTCAGTTATGCTATCAAACGTGGAATGAAGTGGGAGTACGAGACTTCGACGGTAAAATGGCTACACTTTGGTGTTACAGTCAATGTGGGGACTGTTGCTAGGTCATTCCAGTTTAATATATTTGAGAGTAAGAAGTGCGAGTTGTGAGTGGTTGTGACTATGAGGGAGAAGGACAAATCCAGGAGAGACTCTGCGGAGTCCTCCAGGAAGGATCTACTCCCTTGCCTCGTGGGGGCCGGAGTAGTTACTGGAAACTGTAAGAGGGTTTTGGTCGAGGCCTTCCCTGATGCAACACAGCCAGTTTGATTTACTCACTTTTGATTTCCCAATCTCTTGTGCACGCACCATCTTCACCACACTTCAGTCACCTCTTGTGCTACACGAGAAGAAAGCTCTCGTAGTTACGAGCTGTGTGAGTATTGAATTGATCGAGCATGCTTCTCGATACTATCGGCCACGTTACGACTACGATAACATAAGAAATTCGACTTCTTTTAGAAATGTCAGCATTGAAATGTGAATTGGCCGCTGCTATTAGATGGCCAATTCTGTGCATGCGTCCAGTAATCCTGAACTACAGAACTCAGATCGTCGCACAAATCGCAGGTGAGCAGATCGAAGGTTTCTGTTTTTTTTCACATACAAATTTGTATTGCAAAGATCCTAAGCAATCTGATGCGGCTCCCATCTTCTCACTTCTTAATTGGATCTCAGCCTCGCACCCAGTCAATTGAACGCCATGACTGGAGTTGTTGGTGGCGCGTTGCTGCTGCTCTGGAGCTATGCGCAGTGCGCCTGGGCTGTACCCGGCAGCGACCTGAAGCTACAGCTGCCGTTCCCCGTGGCATCACACCCGCTTCAACTGTCCACGAGCCTCTTCGCGGCCTCAGAGCATCTACCGCTCGACGCTCACGTGGCCAGCACGACATCGAAGGGAAGCCCAAGGCTGCTGGCGGACGTGCCGTTCCCGACGGCGCGTGGTGGACGAACCTGGTGCTGGCAGAGGGCCAATCGGCCGTCGTATCCATGCCCTACGTCCACAAGATCTTGGACGAGAAGTTGCACGTGAGCTTCCCGTTCCGTGTCGTGGCGCCTCGGAGTATTGTGGAAGGTTTCATCGCCCAAATGGTCGTAAGTTCTCAAGCGCCGACGTCGACGCTGCCACTATCGCACCACGTTGTCAACTTTGACGCGTTCAGTACGACCGTGCGCTTCAGTCGCGGCCAAGCGGAGGAGTTCCGGGTGTATCTTGTGCGCGGGTCGCCGTATATTACGATGGAATACACTCGCAGTCACCCCGTGTTGGAAGCTAAAGATGGACTGCAGATTAATCGCTTTAAGAAGCGTCAAGGACTTACGCTTATGAACGGAGACGACGTGCCTTTCGCCACCTTCGCAGCCGAGCTCAACAATGGCCAAACGTGGTACGTGTACGCGTCGGATAAGCAACTTAAACTAAAGTTGAACGACAATGGACAAGTGACAAGCGACGAGGCGTTCACGGGTGTATTGAGAGTGGCGTTGTGTCACGATGCCAAGGTGATGGCTTATCTGCTAGAGTCAGCGCCTGTGTACGCTGTTGGAGGTGACGTCGCTCACTCACTGGACCCGCAAGACTCGGATAAAGCGTTGCTGAAGTTCCAGTGGAAGACAAAAAGCTTCTCGATGTTCCACGGTACAGCCGACGTCGTCACAGACGAGGAGAACAGCAAACTGCTGATGCTGGCACTTCCTCACCACATGGACGTGATGCAAGTGCAGAACGACAACAAACCTGTGAAGAAAGGCAAGAACAAGGTGCTATCAGACTTGAGATACACGAGTATTCGCGGCCTGATGGAAGGCGTGTTCGGCGCTGTGTGGCACATGAAAGAGTCGCTGCCAGCGGTCGAGTGGAACTACGCAGACGACGGACTGTTTAGTGAGGACTTCAGTGACAGCTCGGACGACAAGCAGCTTCGTCTTGACATGCGCGCTAAAGTGACGGAAGCTATCCTCAAAGAGCTGCCTATTGACGCTGACAAGTACCCACCGCCCATGAGTCCGGACTCGTATAACTTTGGCAAACAAGTGAGTCGTGATGCGCGTTTGCTGCTGATTGCGGATAAATTCAAGCAGGACGAATTGAAGCAGAAACTCCTGACAAAAGTTGAGCTGGCGATCGTCGATTGGCTTGAAGGCACGAACGTCGATCACTTTGTGTACGACCAAACGTTTGGTGGTATCATCACGAACGATGGCTGGAAGGACGATCAGGCTGACTATGGCAACGGATACTACAACGACCACCATGTACGCATGAGAGTTCCTCCCTGTATGTTGTGACCTCACTGATACTGACACTTTTTGAATGCTGTTATTGCAGTTCCATTACGGATATTTCGTCTACGCGCTTGCTGCCGTTCGTAAATTCGATCCAGCTTTCATTGAGAAACACGCGCAAGCCTGTGCTTTGATCATGGGAGATTTTGGCACGCCGCTACTCAATAGCAACACGTCGTTTTTCAACGATCTGCCCGTCCGACTGCTCTTCCCCTCTGCTCGCCACAAAGATTGGTTCGTTGGCCACTCGTACGCTAGCGGTCTGTTCCCGATGGAAGACGGAAAGTCTCAAGAAAGCAGCAGCGAAGATCTCAACGCTTACTACGCGTTGGTGCTTTTCTCGTCACTTGACGAAAACGCTGCCAAAGGACAGGGAGGCAGCTCTTATCATCAGTACGCGCGTCTCTTGCTTGCCACGGAATTGCGATCGGTTAAGAAATACTGGCACATGTCGGAGAACTCCAAGATCTACGAGCCTGTCTTCTCGAAGAACGCCATGGTGGGCGTCGTAGGCGAGGTGAGTGTGGTGTATAACACGTGGTTTGGCGACCGCGCCGTCTACATCCACGGCATCAACATGCTCCCGTTCACGCCTTTTACGCCGCAATTGCTGGACGAGGAATATGTCGCCCGAGAGTACGCGCTATTGAGCCAAGATCTCTCCGATCTGAGCCAATACGATATCTGGCGCTCAATTGTAGTCATGGATCATGCGATCTTGGACGCAGAGGAAGCTTGGGACGAGCTCAACAACACGGTCAAGACGTTCGACACGTGGTCTTCGCGCACAAACGCAATGTACTGGACTGCCACACGTCCGTCGTGGTTTGCTCAAAAGAACCGCCCAGCGCTGAGCAACCCAGACCTCGATGCTGATGCCAAGTGTTTTGGGTTTCCTGCTTGTGCCACGGCAGGAGCGAATGGCACGGCGTTGATGTGTTGTGGCACGTTGCCAGGATGCTGTCCGAGTGCACTAGGTTGCTGTCCGCAGGAAGACCCCGCTTTGTTGCCGAGCAACGCCTGCTTCGGTGAACATGAGTGCGCTGTGCTTGGATTGGACTGTTGCAACACCATCGATGGCTGTTGTGAGCCTGACCCCATCTCAGGGACTGTGTTGGGTTGCTGCAAGAACCAGCACCCGGTGATCAGCAATACAACGCACAAGGTTGCTGAGAAGACTGAGGACGCTGCGAAGTGCTATGGTGAACCAGTGTGCGAGGCCGCCAACCTTGACTGCTGTGGCGTCCCTGGTGGCTGCTGCTCTGGATCTGGTGTCAAGCTGGATTGCTGCTCGTCCGAAATACGGACAGCACTCTTATCCAGTGATTCTCACTCGAGCGACGCGAACTCTTGCCAGGGTCAAGCTAAGTGTGGTGCTGCTGGGCTGGACTGCTGCGGATGGGATGGAGGTTGCTGCAATCCGGATCCGGTGACGGGAGCCAAGTTGGACTGCTGCCAGGATGAATCTTCCAGTGAGGCGATTCCTATCCGCAGTGGCCATGGGCATCACGAAGAAGAAGACGATTCCGACGACAGTTCTTGGAGTAATGTCACCCGCATCTTCGTTGGACTGGGTGGCGCCATTCTGCTTGTCGCGATTGTGTACGCTGGGGGAATGTGCTACCGACGCCGCGGATACTCGAACATGGACGGCGACATGCGCTCGCTCTACTGCGCCGGGCTCATGGTTGGCGTCATCGCCTTCTTCATCTTCCTCATTGTCACATCTTAAGTGCCGTTAGTGGAATCGTGTCTTCAAAATTGCTCTGTATTCTTGCGGAGAACCGTGGATGACTTAAGATTTTTGCAATAATTTACACGTGCCTTGAGCCAAGGCCATTAAAAGCGCGATGACTTAGTGTAAATCCCATGTCAGGCCCCATCAATCATGACATTAGAGCTCCCGTTTCGTTTGGCACCAAAATGCCGTTGATGCGCCTTTTATTCTAAGAACTGCGTGTATGGTGGTTGGGATGCCAAAAGACCGTCATTGTCCGGATACTTTACCTAGTGGAGTGTTAACACCTCACCATTGCGTTGCGAGGCTTTGTAGAAATAGCGACAGAAGGACAATCAGTCGTCTGTTCAGAAACACACACATGCTGTCTCCACCTCAACGACTCGAATAACAGCACCATCAAACACAGGATCCGCACTACACACGACGTAATTGAATGCACCTCCCACGAAACAACCGCCAACTCTGGTCAGGATCTCCGGGTCTCCCAGCAGTTTCTCTCTTTGAAGTTCCCCGGTTGGTTCACGTGTTAATACTCTCTCGATTGACAGCAACAATTCAGGACCACAAGTCCGCAAGTAGATAAAATACGCAAAATCCGTCTGTTCTGGTCTGGTCTCTCTGCTTGTACTGGTACTTTGGTGGCTCCCCTGTCGCTCTGTCCTGGTTCGTCTCCGTAGCCCACTTAGTCACGACGCGGCGGCGACGCACTGCGGCGCGGTGAGCGGCTGCGTTGGCGGGGCGAACGGCTGCGGTCGCGTCCTGCGCTGCCACGGTCACGGTCACGGCGGTCCGGAGAGCGAGAGCGGCGGCGCGAACGGTCTTCGCGACGATCGTCGTAGCTGCGGTCGTCCCGGCGATCATCGTAGCGGCGGCTGTCTTTGCGGTCTCCGCCTCCTCCGTAGCGGTCGCCTCCGCCTCCTCCATAGCGGTCACCGCCGCCGTAACGATCACCGCCGTTGCCGCCACCTCCGCCACGCGAGTAAAATTCCCGCGGGTTGTCAGGGCGGCGCTGCTTGGCGAACTGCACGCGCAAGTCTCGGCCCTGGAACTCCTGTCCTTCCATGCCGTCGATTGCGTCCTCAGCATCGCGCTTCTCAATAAAGCGCACGAAGGCAAAGCCGCGCGACTCGTTGGAGCCGCGCGCGCGAGGGATGTAGACGTCGCCGATCTCACCAAACTTGGAGAAAAGGTCGCGCAGTTCGTCGCTCCTGTGGATAGAGAACGTTAAAGGAGATGACATGAGAGAGAGAAGAGAGCCCACTAACCCGATCTGGAAGGGGACGTTGTCCACCTTGAGCGTGAACATGCTGTCGACGTTGGGGGGCGCCATAGCTGGCAGTTGCTCTTCCCGAATTGGTTGGACTGGTGGTTTAGCGGCCGTTTTGGAAAGTGAGGTAAGATTCTCTTTTGAGGGTTCGAAATTTATCTGAGAAGTTATTTTAAGAAAGTAAGGGCTAGGTTTATTGCGTATTTTACGCCACAAGCTACGCACCGGTATTTAATACCGGTACCTTTAAGAAATAATTCAAAATATTTCTACGAATTTGAAGCAAACAGTGTGTATTTTATTTTTAAGTAAAATACACTTGGCAACGCCCATGTGATAAACTGCCATGTATCCTTGGTAGTGACTGCAATGCTTAGTTCTCAAGAACAACGCGGTAGCGCACGCGGCCTTCACGAACCATATCGAGCCCCTCGTTCAGCTTTGCCATCGGCAAGTTTTGGATGATCGGGCGAACGTTTTTCTTCGCCGCAAGTGTCCTTGATATCCTGGATACTACCGATAGCACTGCCTCGCACTCGCACAGCACGAGGAACCAAGAACCATGGTGTAATCTTCACCTGGTCGTTCGGAACACCAACCATGATGAGCGTACCCCGCTTGCGAACCAGGCTCATGTACAGGTCGTACGGCATATTGTTGGCGTCGGCAGTTAGCACCAAGAAATCAACACTTCCAGCTGCCTTCTTTTGCTGCTCCGGGTCGGTGAGATTGTTGAACTCCTTGGCACCCAACGACAGGATTTCCTTCTCCTTGCTTGCAGAGCGGGAGAAAGCAACAGGAGTGGCGCCCAGTGCACGAATGAACTGAATAGCGATGTGGCCAAGGCCACCAATACCAACGACGCCAACACGGTCTCCCGCCTTCACACCCTCCTGCTTCAACGGGGTGAAAACGGTTGCACCAGCACAAAGGAGAGGTGCAGCAACATCGGAAGGGATTGCGTCGGGGATCTTGAAAGCGTAGTTGCTGTCGACACGCACGTAGTCAGCGTACCCGCCGTATGACTTGGCACCGTCCTTGTAAGTGCCGTTGTAGGTCCAGACACCCTGGTCGCACACAGCATCCTCACCATCTCCGCAGTCACGGCACTTGTCATTGGGATCGCGGTTCAAGCATGCCCACACTTGGGCGCCAACACCGACACGGTCTCCTACGACCAGGTTTTTCACGCTCGAGCCAGCCAGAGTCACTTCTCCAACGATCTCATGCCCAGCAACGCAAGGGTACGGGGCTGGCCCCCAACCGCCGTCGATGGTGTGAAGATCCGTGCCGCAGATACCGCAGTGAGAAATCTTAATTTCGACGTCCTCGTCACCAAGTGGACGGGTCTGGTACTGCCACGGCTTGCACTCGCCTGTGCTGTCAAAGGCGGCGAATGCATTGACAGTTCTCGGAGCAGTCGACATAACGAACGTTGTCTTGGTATTTTCTCTCTGATGTGTTTGGTCGGAAGCGAATTTGTAAGTGAACTTGACGCCATGGTCGCTTCCGAGAGTTCCAACTTGTGACAAGCATTAAATGAATGGAAAGTGGATTATGGAGACAAACAGTTTACGGTGAGCAAGATGAAAAAGAAATGGCATTCTTGCTTGTCTAAGGTAGAACAATTTAACAAAGTCATCTTGTGATTCAAGGTGAGCGGTCTATGAATTGTTTTTGGTACATGTACATAACAAGCTTTATCATTAAAAATGCAATATTTTTAGAATTCAGAATGCGTAATCTTGAATACAGTAGCTTCGCACGTGTTGATCACTGTAATCAACTCATGCGAAGCTACTCAAGATTATGCATTTTGAATTATAATGCATGTACGTACGTGAAGCAACTCGCTCCAACTGCATCAACAATGTTGATGTAGCAACTCATTGTTGATGCAGTTGCTACATGTATTATAATTCAAATTGCATAATCTTTAGTAGCTTCAACATCAGTGAGATCGTTCTACTGTAGGAGCAGGCACGCAACGAATATCGCAACAGCAGTCTGCCACCCAACGGCTCTGTTGATCAGGGTCGTTTGGCAAAGCTCGATTCTGCCACTGCAATTCCTAGTCTCGCCCAACTGATCATTCTTTAATTTATCGTACATCACTGCAGCATCTTGATAAGCTAAAAAAAATGTCAAGTGCTCCAAGAACTGTCAACGCCTTTGCTGCCTTCGAGCCGTCGGGCAGGATTGTGCCATTTCAATACGAATCACGCCTGCTTGGTCCAGACGATGTGGAAATCAAGATCTCGCATTGCGGTATCTGCGGATCGGACATTCACCACCTCGACAGCGGCTGGAAACCCACGATGTACCCGTGCGTATTTGGCCACGAGATCATTGGTGACGTGAGTGTTGTTGGTGTCAGCGTCAAACATCTGGCCGTGGGCGATCGCGTCGGCGTCGGAGCTCAGGTCTGGGCCTGCCTTAACAAGGACCCGAAGAGACCTTGTGAGGAGTGTGGTGACGGTGAAAACGCCTTCTGCAACCGCTCGGTGATCACTTACGATGCAAATTACGAGGATGGCTCCATGGCGTACGGTGGATAACGTCCGTGTCGACAGCAATTTCGCCTTCAAGATTCCTGGTAACATTCCATCCACTGCCGCCGCGCCGTTACTGTGCGCTGGTGTGACCGTTTTCACGCCTCTAAAGCGCAACGTGAAGCCAGGTGATCGTGTGGGTGTCATCGTGATCGGAGGGCTGGGCCACCTCGCCATCCAGTTTATCCGTGCTCTCGGTGCTACCCCCGTGGCGTTCTCGCGTTCAGCCGACAAAGAAAAGGAGGTTCGTGCTCTCGGTGCCGAGGAATTTTACAACTTGAGCGACCCGAAGGACCAGAAGAAGGCAGAAAACTCCGTCAACGTGTTGCTGCTGACGGCTGATGCCACCAACATGCCGTACAACACGTTCTTGACTCTGGTGAAGAAGCGCGGCATATTCGTCATGGTGGGTGTCCCAAACGACGAGGTCAAGTTCAAGCCGATGTTCGTTGTGGCTAAGGGTATCAAGTGGGTGGGCAGCCTTATCGGAGGTATTCAAGCCATACAGGACATGCTGGCTCTTGCGTCGGAGAAGAATGTGCGTGCCATCGTTCAGCAAATGCCTATGAGCAAGGTGAACGAAGGCATCGCAATGATGCGCGAGGGTCGCGTTCGCTACCGTGTCGTACTTGAAAACTAAGTTGGTTGTGGTAGGGTAACGAGGTAAAAATGACTTCAGCAGCTCCGTTGTTCAACTTCTTGCATTCGTATTTTCTCTCCTTACTTTAGTCTGTGTAGGTATCCTCCTTCTTTCGATAGCGCATGAAAATCTCCGTTCGTGTTCTTCGCCAGCTCTCGAGGGCTATCGAACTCCACCACCCGACCGTCACTCAGCACCAATATACGATCCGAATCCAGCACCGTCCCCAGCCGATGCGCGATCGTCAACACCGTCGCGTCCTGAAAGTCCCGATTGATCATCTGCTGCAACTTCTTCTCGGTCTCGTGATCGATGGACGCAGTCGCCTCATCCATCACCACGATGCGGCTTCGAGTCAGTAGAGCGCGAGCCATACACAGCATCTGCCGCTCACCCACACTGAAGTTCTCGCCGTTCTCGCTTAGCTCATACGATAGCTGACCGTCCAGTGCCGACACCTGCGTCTTCATATCCACTTTTTCAAGCGAGTTCCAGATGTCCGCGTCTGTAAACTCGTCGAACGGGTCCATGTACGCTCGCAGCGTACCCTTAAACAACACGGGCGACTGCGGGATGATGGACAAATTCGAGCGTAGGGTGCGCAGTGGCATGGTGGCGATGTCTGTACCGTCGATAAGAATGCGGCCTGAGACCAGCTCGTTGATTCGGAAGAGTGCCATGGTGAGGCTGGACTTGCCGGCGCCGGTACGTCCAACAATACCGATCTTTTCATTGTTCTGGATGTCGAAAGATAGTCCCTTGAGAACAGGTGCAGCACCCGGCTTGTAGCCGAAGACGACATCGTGGAAGCAAACGGTGCCTGTACTAGGCCACGCCTGACTTGGTTCAATTGCGAGGGTGCTCTGTTCCCCTTCTGGAGGAATGGAAGCATATGCCATGATCCTTTCAGGACTCACCATCTCAATTTCCAGCCAAGACCAAACACGAACGAGGCGAGAGAGTCGACTGTCAATGCTCAATGCGTAAGTAAACGCGACCCCAACAAGTCCAGGTGTCAGATAGTCGCGAAGGTAGACCAAACAGGAAACCACAGCAATCACAACGCCACAGCCAATGAGCTCCATGCGAAGTAGAAACCATGTCGACACCACAAAGTCGCAGAACCAAGCGCGAGCGTTCACGTCGTTGCGCGTAAAACTCTCAGCAATTGTTTGGTCCACGCAGTCTGGCCCAAACGCTCGGATGGTGGTGACCCCTTCTTCGGCTTGTGAAATGTGGCTGAGTACGGGAGATGACGCCACTTTCAGTAATCGAGAAATGTCTCGAGACGGCAGCAAGTAAATCTTGGCAAACTTGACGTACAGATACGCGAGCGGAACGATGAACACGATCAGTATGTTGAGGATATAGATTGCAGTCGCAAGTTGGCAAAATGTGAAGAAACCGGCCACCAATAGGCTTCCGACATCAAATGGAATGTCAATTTCAACATACGCCATGTCTCCCCCGAATCGATTCAGAATCCGGCCGATCGGATTAGCATCGAAGAACCTCAACGGTGCAGACAACAGAGCCCGTGTAAGGAGACGAAAAAGGTCGCGAGATGCACGCAGCCCAGCAGTAGCCACTGTCACAGCGCGTGCGAGCACCATCAAAGCACTGCCTCCACCCAATAACGCATAGACTGTCATGTTGTACTGCGTTCGTGAAGCATCGTATGTGTTGCCCTTCTGGCCAGTCCAGTGACTGAGCCACATATCACTCCCGACCTGACATCCCTGCCACAACGACTGGATCAGCAGCAGCAACACCAGCACTTTGAGTCCTCCCATTGCGTTGAAATATTGCCAAATCACCGCCGCCGACACTCGACCTTCCTCGCGTTCTTCGTCTTCGATCAGTCGAACGGTGTCCTTCAAACTGTCTTCATCATTCTTGGGAGATGTAGGCTCTTTCTTCGTCTTGTTAGGAGATATCTGTGTCGCAAAAGAGGTTCGAGGGTATCGAACCTTTTGCCGCTCGACCGATATTTGACCTTTAGACACGGAGACTTTGCAACTTTCTGCACCAGACTCGATAACGTCCTGGTTGTGAGTGACAAAAATCACCGTCTTCTCCGCTAACAAGCCACAAATGCACTTGCTGAAGATCTCGCTCTGAACCATAGCGTCGACTGCGGCGAGAGGTGAATCCAAGATGAAAATATCTGCATCGGAGTAGCAGGCGCGTGCCAAACTCACACGAGCCTTCTGACCACCCGACAGATTGATTCCCTTCTGTCCGATCTCAGTTGCGTCACCTCCGGCAAATTGCTGCAAGTCAGGGAGAAGTCCGCACACATTCAGGACACTCTGGTACTTGGTGTGGTCGAAAACTTGTCCAAAGAGGATATTTTCACGGATGGTCATACTCTGGATCCACGGCTGCTGAGCGTAGTATGCCACTTTGCCATTTACAGTCACCTTGCCGTCCATTTTCTCCATCTCGCCAAGCAAGGCAGAACACAGTGAAAATTTACCGGAGCCGACGGGTCCATGAACAACAACAAAGTCACCTTTCTTCACTATCAAGTTCACATCCGCCAATACTGGCTTTGCATCTTCATTCCACGCGAATGTTCCATGCTCGACCAGGATCGCAACATCCTCTGGAATGGAAGAATCATTCCGAGTCACACTGGACGAATCGACCTCGTGAAGAGCAAGGTAATCTGCCATGCGATCTAGCGAAATCTTGGCTTGAAGACACTTTTGGACCATACTTGGGAACTCCCGTAGTGGGTCTCGAAGTAGATTAAACAGTGCGATGGCAGTGAATACCTTGGCAGCCGTTAGTACCTGGCCTTTCACCAGAGTGTAATAGGCGAACGAGGCAGTTGAGACGAACAACGGCGACGTCCACAATACGAAGATTGTTCCGCACATGGCGTAGACGAATCGCGAAAGCTCTGAGAGCTCTAACTCTCGAAGAGCGAGCAGTTTCTCATCAAATTTTCCTTCCCACGCGTTCAATTTGACTATCTGGATAGCACCGAAGGCCTCTTTGACGAGTTTCATGCGGTCATCTTTGCGTTTCATCAACTCTTTGTATGACCCACTGGTCTGCTTTGTGAAGAAGAATGCAGCCAGCATCGATAGAGCGATGACGACGAGCCCAGCAAAGGCTGAGATTCCTAGAACTACATACAACTGGATCACCCGTTGAATGTCCGACGAATAGATATTGGCGATGTCCACAGCTTTGGCGTCACTGCGGCTCTGAATGCTACGTCGCATGGTCTTCTCGAATAGTAGAGCTCTCAAAGACACGGCAATGTGAAATACCACCAACTGGATCTGAAAATCTACGTGTGGCGTCACCAGAGCGTTGGCAAGACGAGAGGCAAAAAAGGTAGCCAGCCACCCCCCGAGGCTCATCAGATTCATCTCTGGTGCAGCAAAGACTTCGATCACGTGGTGTAGCACAGCAGGCGCAAATAGAATGCAGGCCGTCGTGAACGCCGATGCCAGTCCGCAGAGCAGGAACTTCCATCCGTAGCCATGCACAATGGCTCGGATCATAGCCTGCTGTTGCTGATCGTAGTGCTGCTTAAAGAAGGCGTAAGCGACTTCAGAGCGACTATCGGCATCCAGATCCAGCAGGTCCTCATGGTCCAGTTGCCGCGTGCTGCCAATTTGCATCATTTCGTCTGCAAACGAGAGAAAGAGTCTCGACAGCAGCGATGCAGACTGGTGACGTTGCACTTGAGGCGACATTGGCGGTACCTTAAGGAACGTGGCATATTTCCTGGACGAAGAACCTTGCTGCAGCTGTGTCTGGCTCATGAGGGTAAAGCAACAGCTCTCCGATAATAATGACGATATTCTGTGCCAACCAAGACTGATATTGCTAATCGAGACGAGAGTGTATGTAACTATTAATAGCATGTTCCCAAATCGTACCAAAAACATTTGGACAAAACTTAAAAGAGGCACTAAGTGAGATCGTACCTAAAAGAAGTTATACGGTAGGTAATTGGTAAATTACGCTGATATATTACCAGCCATTCCGACATTTCAAAAATCTGAAAACAGACACCCCCTCTCCCCCATTTCCTCCATCCGCAAAACGCTCAGAGCTTCTTATTTAAATATTTGCGCGTCTAGGCCTCAAGTCGACTTTGGGCATACGTTTCTTAAATATATTTGTGCTGTTTATTACTCCTTCTGATGTTCTGTAAATAAGCAGGTGGATCTCAATGAGCGGGAGCCGGAGGCGCACGTGTCATTTGCTAGCGTGTTTGAGGCTTCACCGATGGACAAGGAATGACACGAAAATTGGGACGCGTTTAGCAAATACCTGAATGAGTACCAGGCGAGGACGCACCAGCTCTTTCGACTCCGCAGCTCGACGTCGGTAGTTCGCCGTAGCGCAGATTATTATTAGATCTCAGCGTTGCGCAGATGACGCAGGACCGGCAGGCACGGGCGATTCTTCTCTATCGCTAGTTCCCGACGATTTCAAGACATTTTGGATCAAACTCATTTGCACACATGGGTGGAGGAGAAAAAGCCGCAGTACGGGTCAGTGGAAGAGTTACTTTGGAAAGTCGACAGAGTGCAAGGCCGATATCAACGCTGCTGTGACCTGAGACAAAAAAGAAAAGAGATTATGGTTCGTGTGACAGGCTACAGCACAAGCCACAACCATCGCATCGAGCGCTGTCTACGAAAACCACCCGTCCGTGCGGCGTGTCGAGGACCCCATTCTGCTTGTGTTTGTGAGTGTGCTACAATCGTCGGGTCCGAAGCTCAAGCGAATCATGCAGTTTCTTTGCGAGAAAACAGGTGCAGATGATTACTTTTTTGGTAGTATTTCATTACCTTACATCTCATGAATGTGTTTATAGGTCTGAATGTGACACGCCGTGACGTCCACAACATGGTTGTCAAAATGAAAGAAAAGCGGCGCGGCACGGACACACTAGAACAGCGATTTCAAGGTCTCCTGCGGGGATTTTGTTGGCGGCGGAACAACCGAGCTTCTGTATTTGGCGACAACGAATCTTTGGCACAAAACATCACGCAACAAACGCGCCAAATGCGTCGGTGGCTCAAGGTTTTCCTGGAGGTGATGCTAGTTGACGCCACGCACACAAGCACGAATGACCCTCAGTACAAGCTCTTCTCGTTCATGGTGCATGATGTGTACAGCCATGTAAATTTTACGTATGTACTAGTGATTACAGGCACCTGGTATACACGGTGTAGAGTGTATCTGTAGGCACAAATATGTACTAATACACAGTATATGTACCTAAGGGCAGTATGTGCAGCTCAGTCTAATGGAAAATAAAGACTCGATATTTTATCGGTTTCGCGAGCGGGAAGACAAACTACGAGTCATTTGCAGTAGAAATCTCATCGATGGTACGAATGAGTAGGTGTTGATGAGTTTGCACGTGGACAATAAACATAGGTGTGGGATTGTGTTTGAATTTCGCGCGAAACCCAAGTTAATAACAATATTCGACCCATTGCAAACTCCAAAGTCCAAGTATTACATGTGTGATGAATTGCAGAAGGATCTATTTGGAGAATTACGTGCGATTTTGGGGGTCAAGAAGGAAACGAAGCCACGGCAACCGGATGGGGCAACCTGTGGCGTGATGGTTCTATTGTTTTCGAATGCTACATCCGTGGCATTGATATGCCATGTAAGCCAAGTCCCGCGCTGCTGCGCTTTTTCAGACTATGCTATCTACTGAAGTGTCTGCCGTAGCGCTATGTCTAACGATAACTCAATCTTTAGGTTTTAATGCACTACCATCGTATGTAAATTTTTAGTTCACTCGGTTTAATGGTAAAGAAGAGCTGATGAAAGTACATCGGTTAGTAGTGTGCAGCCTTCAGGTAGATGGAGCAGGTTTCACCTCGCATTCGTGCCTAAGAAATTACTAAGACATCGGTAAATTCGATCAACATGAGTAAGTTGGCACACAAACCCTACAACACTCCCGTAAAATCCTGCAAGTCAATCCACCACAACCACTCGTTGCAATGTCTACATTTTCGGGATATTTTAAAAAATATTTTCTGTTATATTACCCCTTTTTCGGAAATTGGTGCCATTGGAAACGTGCCTTTAGACACTTTGGTGCCTAAAAATCAATTGGGTCACCCGATGTCCCGATTATGTTCACTCCACTCAGTGCCTCAAACATCGATCAAAATTAATTTCGGTTAATATATGGTACAAGTACACGCTGTGAGAGAACTTTGTTTCTAAAAGTTTTTAGAAATCACAATTATCAGAAAAAGGGTCAAATTCGATCGAAAACCGGTACTTGAATGTGATAATATCACGTAATTGGTCTAACGCTAGTGCAAGTAGCACTCTTTGCAGCTTTCTGCATGGGAAAGTCGGAAGAAATCTAAGTTCTCATGATGTACTGAGCTCTTCTTTGTCGTTTAAAGCAGCTGATCCAAATTCCCTCCTTCTTTCGCTAACGCATGAAACACTCCATTCGTGTTTTTCACCAACTCCCGAGGGCTATCGAACTCCACCACCCGACCGTCACTCAGCACCAATATACGGTCCGAATCCAGCACCGTCCCCAGCCGATGCGCAATCGTCAACACCGTCGCGTCCTGGAAGTCCCGATTGATCATCTGCTGCAACTTCTTCTCGGTCTCGTGATCGATGGACGCAGTCGCCTCATCCATCACCACGATGCGGCTTCGAGTCAGTAGAGCGCGAGCCATACACAGCATCTGCCGCTCACCCACACTGAAGTTCTCGCCGTTCTCGCTTAGCTCATACGATAGCTGACCCCCCAGTGCCGACACCTGCGTCTTCATATCCACTTTCTCAAGCGAGTTCCAGATGTCCGCGTCTGTAAACTCGTCGAACGGGTCCATGTACGCTCGCAGCGTACCCTTAAACAACACGGGCGACTGCGGGATGATGGACAAATTCGAGCGTAGGGTGCGCAGTGGCATGGTGGCGATGTCTGTACCGTCGATAAGAATGCGGCCTGAGACCAGCTCGTTGATTCGGAAGAGTGCCATGGTGAGGCTGGACTTGCCGGCGCCGGTACGTCCAACAATACCGATCTTTTCATTGTTCTGGATGTCGAAAGATAGTCCCTTGAGAACAGGTGCAGCACCCGGCTTGTAGCTAAAGACAACGTCTTGGAACTGGACGGCAGAGGAGCGAGGCCATGAGGCATCAGGCTCAATGACAAGCGGTCGTTGACTTCCTTCGGCTTGAATGGATCCATACTCGAGGATTCGCTCGGGACTCACCATTTGGATTTCTACCCAAGACCACGACTGCACAAGGTCCGCGAGGCCGCTGTCGACGCTAAGTGCGTACGTGAACGCCAATCCAACTATACCAGGAGACAGGTAATCACGAAGGTACACGAGTCCTGACACCACTAGAAAAATGACCCCACAGCCCAGTAGCTGCATGCGAACCTGAAACCATTGCGACGTGACGGTCTCAGCAAACCAAGCCTTGCTGTTCACATCATTGCGAATGAAGTTTTCCATGATCATGCGGTCAACAGTGTCCTGACCGAAGGCGCGAATCACCACAACGCCCTCTTCCGACTGCGTCACATGGCTCAATACAGGGGAGGACGAGACTTTCCACAAGCGTGAAATCTCTCGAGACGGCGCAAGGTAAAAGTTGGCAATCTTGACATACATCCACACCAGTGGGATAATCAGAAAACCCAAAAAGTTCATGGTGTACACAGCAGTTCCTAGCTGGCACACTGTGAAGAAAAACATGGCGAGAAATCCTCCAAACGCGAATGGGATCATGAAATCCACAGCGGACATGTCGTCACCGTATCGGTTCACAATTCGTCCGATTGGATTCGCGTCGAAAAAGCGGAGTGGAGCCTTCAACAGCGACACCGTCATGTTGTCAAAGAGATGGCGCGAGGCTCGGAGACCTACAACTGCCACAGTAGCTGATCTAACGAAGACCATGACCGCGGCGCCTGCCCCAAGCAGCGAATACACTTTCACGTTGTACGCAGTCTCGTGCTGGTTGTACGAGCCGCCCTTCTGTCCCGTCCAGTGACTCAGCCACAGATCGCTGCCAATCTGGAACACTTGCCACAGTGTCTGCACGCAGAATAGGAAGACGCACACCTTGACGCCACCTAGCGAGTTAAAGTAATTGGCGAAGACCTCCTTCGACACGCGACCTTCTTCCCGCTCTTCATCGTCAATTAATTTGCCAGCGTCGTTCTTTACGGCTTCATCATCGTGAGTAGCTTCATCCACCGCTGAACGAGATGTCCGCAGTTTAAACGAGCTCCGTGGTAAAGCCACGTCATGTCGAATAGCTGTCAGCTTGCCGTCTTCCACCAGCACCTTCAAGTTGGCGGCTTTACTCGCGATAATGTCAGCACTGTGCGTCACCAACACGACGGTCTTCTGCGCCAGCAAGTTGCAGATACAGTCACCGAAGATTTGACTCTGCACGATCGCATCGACAGCCGCCAACGGGGAGTCGAGCAAGAGGATGTCAGCATCTGAGTAGCACGCACGAGCAAGACAAACACGCGCCTTCTGACCACCAGACAAGTTGACACCCTTTTGTCCGATCTCCGTCAAGTCACCTCCAGGGAATTGCTTTAGGTCTGGAAGTAGGCCACACGCTGCGACCACTTTAGCGTACTTCTTGCTGTGATATGGCAGACCGAACAGGATGTTGTCACGGATCGTCATGTTCTGGATCCATGTCTGCTGCGAATAGTAGGCGACACGACCTCGTACGAACACGCTACCGGTCAGCTTGTCCATTTCTCCCAACAAAGCGGAGCATAGGGATGACTTGCCACTGCCGACAGAGCCGTGCACGATTACCAAGTCACCCTTCTTAATAGTGAGGTTGGCCTGGGTAAGCAATGGCGTATCCTTTGTCCAACCAAAAGTACCATCGTCAATTGCCATGACTACGTCGTCGGGCTGGGCCATATCGTGACGAATAACATTCGAAGGAGTGAACTCATCCAGTGCAAGATAGTCAGAGAATCGACCGAGCGAAACCTTGGCTTGAATGCACGTCTGGATGACTGTGGGTAAGTCCCGTAGTGGGTCTCGGAGAGCGTTAAACAGCGCAATTGCTGTGAACACCTTCGCTGCCGTCAGCGCCTTCTCCATAACAATGGCGTACACAGCAAAGGACACAGCCGAGACGGCAATAGGAGAAGCCCAGAGCACAAAAATGTTCAGAGCGCCCAAGTACATGAATTTCTTCACAGCCGAGAGCTCCGTAGCACGAAGCTTCTGGATCTTGTCGGCGAATTTGTCTTCCCACGCGTTGAGTTTGACGATCTGAATGGCATTGAACACTTCCTTGATGGTCTTCATGCGGTCGTCCTTGTGTGTCATAATGTCTTCAAACGTGTTTCCCGATATTTTCGCGATGATAAAACCCACCAGCATCGACACGGCAATGACTCCAAGTCCGGCAAAGGCAGCGAGGTCGATGACTTCGTACAACATGTAGACCACCACCACGATCTGGAGCGGGATAACCCACAGACTGTTGATCTGGAAGGCAGCCCACAGCACGTTGTCAACGTCAGACGAAAAGAGGTTGGAGATGTCCACCGTCTTGGACTCGCCTTTGCTCTGGATGCTGCGACGCATGGCCTTTCGGAACAAGAGCGCCTTGAGCGTCACTGTTAGTCGTAGCGCGATCAACTCGAGGTAGAAATGCATTTGCGAGATCACAATTGCATTCACAAGTCTCGAGGCGAAGAAGACGCCGAGCCAGACACTGAGATTGGACATGTCGATCTGCGGGGCTGCGAACACCGTGACGACGTGGTTCAGGACAGCTGGGGCGAACACATTGCAACCCGTCGAGAAGAGCGTTGCCAGTCCACAGAGGAAAAATCTCCCTCCGAAGGCTGTCAACATGGCCTTGACGATGGACTTGTCGTGACGTTCGTAGTGCACCACGAACTCGTCGAAGGCTGCAGCCGAGCGGTTCTCACCCTCGAGTTCCCATAGATCGTCGTTGTCAAGTTGGCGCGTGTTGCCGGCACGCATCATTGGGCTGGCATACGAGAAGAAGAGGCGCGACCAGAGCGAGGCTGTGCCGGGCGTAGTGTCCGTAGTGTGCAGCAGACCCTGGCGAGTCTTGTCGAGATCATCGTTAGCACTGGCGAACGTGGAGTAGCGCGGTTGTTTGGTCTTGGTGGCGGGGGACACGAGCGACTCGGCGTCGGACTGTAGCACCACCGTCATTATGGCGTTGCGTCACGTGAGACTAGGCTTGAGCTCTCTGGTGCCAATCGGTGACTGACTGACGACCAACGGACAGGTGTAGGCAAAAGTTGCACACTTGGGCAGATTATGCGACGCATGCTGACACTCGTTTTTACCAAGTTAGGGACCAACACTCTCACTTACCAGAGGAAACAATTGCTACCGGTAGTCACTCCGTTGTCGTTCAATTTACCGTCTCCGCAAAGAACGATGCGCGCAGACTCGGTGTGGACGAACTCGATATGGTTGGTCACAGGAACACTGACGGCTCGTCATTAACGAAAATGCCATGCTTACGAACGAGGCAGATCGTAAGGCCTCGCCTCCTATGTAAAGTCTCCATCTTATGCTCAAGGCAAGAAAAAAAGCGAGCACAACGACGAGAACACCAAAAGTTTTGGCGAACGTGATGGAATTATTTGTTTCTGAGCACCTTGATAAATTCTCCTTAAGCACTACGTACTGGCAGGCAACTTTGCAGCCAACTGCGTAATTGTCTAGTTTTCGAGCACAACGCGGTAGCGGACGCTGCCGTCGCGTACCTTGTCTAGCCCCTTGTTCACCTCACTCATCGGCATCTTTTCGATAATCGGACGCACGTTGCTCTTCGCCGCCACGTCCAGCATGTCCTTGATGTCCTGGATGCTGCCGATAGCGCTGCCTCGCACGCGAGTAGCGCGAGGGACCAGAAACCACGGCGTGATCTTGACCTGGTCAGGAGGTAGACCCACCATGATGAACGTGCCGCGCTTTCGAACTAGGCTCAGGTACAGGTCGTACGGCATATCCTTGGCGTCAGCGGTAAGCAGCAGGAAGTCGACATTTCCAGCAGCTTTGTTCTGTTGCTCAGGTCGTAAAACTCTTCGGCTCCCAGAGAACGGATCTCTTTCTCCTACGGATGAACTGGATGGCGATGTGGCCAAGACCACCGATACCGATCACACCCACCCGGTCACCCGCCTTAACACCTTCTTGCTTCAGCGGCGTAAACACCGTCGCACCGGCGCACATGAGCGGAGCGGCAGCCTCCGACGGCAGGGCATCTGGTATCTTGAAGGCATAGTTGTTGTCCACACGGATGAAATCCGCGAAGCCCCCTTGTTGACGGGAGCCGTCCTTGTACGCGGCGTTGATAGTGAAGACACCCTGGTCGCACACGGCGTCTTCACCATCAGCGCAGTCGCGGCAGTGATCATTCGGATTGCGGTTTAGACACGCCCATGCCTGTGCACCTACGCCAACGCGGTCGCCCACGGCGAGGTTCTTGACACCGGGACCCACGGCAGCGACGTTGCCAATAATCTCGTGGCCAGCCACGCACGGGTACGGCGTCGGGCCCCATCCGCTGTCGAGAGTGTGAACGTCGGAACCGCAAATACCGCAGTGGGTGACCTTGATCTCGACGTCCTCGTCACCGAGCGGGCGAGGCTCGAACTGCCAGGGTTTGCACACGCCACCCTGATCGTAAGCTGCGTAGCCGGTGAAGGTTCTCGAAACACCAGACATATCTGGTTGCGGAAGGATTTGTTTGATGAAGATTTGGTTGAGAGCTAATTCGCAAATGAGCTACGAAGAGACCGAAGTCTGCTGCTTTCCGTGGCCATGTTCCGATGCTGTGTTTTTCAATCAATGTACATGTAGCTTCGGCGCACGATCTTTTATTACTGCTTATGTTGAGGGAGGTTTTCATGTTGGCGCACAATCACGTCTACGACATAATCCCTGATGATGAAGGCGAAGCTTCCGCATCATCCGTTGCAGAACATCAGATGTTCTATAGAATCTACTAGATTCTACAAGCTACTGGGGTAACCAAATACAGTACTGCACCCCGTTTTCGCGCCCTTGGACCTTTGATAAACTTCCGGATGTGATGATCCTCAGTCCAAATGAACTATTGTTTGTAAGCTAAAATTGAATTTATTTGCAAATCCTATATGGTCCACTCCCGCGAAAACGGGGTGCAGTACTCTACTAGTATCAGATCACATTTTTACCGTAAAGTACCGCCTTCCCCCTGCCCTAAGCGAAGTTTTGTCCTAAGCGAATTTTTATTTTAGCCAATCACATTTCTTCATTTAAGAATTATGTCCACTGCTAAAAATACTCTCACAACCAGTTAATTATGAGACTGTTCCTGCCACACATTTGACTTCGTCACATGCCGAACACACCATGGGGAGGCCACGCTCATCTGGAACAGGCAGAAGGCCAAAGAGGTTTACTCAAATTGCTGTAGACTATGCACACAAGCGTACCATACTACAATATATGGAATCTACGCATACTGTGAATGAAGCAATAGCTCACTTCTTTCCGCCCTTATCTAGCTCAGACAGAAATCGCAAGCAAAAACAGATATCGAAGTGGAAAAAGCAGGCTGCGCATATACAAGCCGTTTGCGAAGGTGGACGTGGCCATCACAAGAATCTTCGGTGTAGTGGACAAGGAACGATACTTTCCAGTGAGGCTGAGAGTGCTATTGTCTTGTGGATAAATTTAATGCGCAAAGACGGCTGTCCTGTCACCTCGCAAATGCTGAAGTTTAAGGCACTCGAAGTGGCTGCTGACGAAGATTTGTCGTCCGATACTTTCAAGGCTTCGCATTAGGAGGTTTATGCGGCGACACAGAATCTCAATCCGGGCTCGCACACGGCAGGGTCAGACGACCCCAGAGGACGCATTGGCAGCGAAAGAGGCCTTTAGTGGTCAGGTTAAAGCTGCTATTATTGAGCACAACATCAGTCATGTGTTCAGCGCTGATCAGACAGGTGAGGCCCTCGCTCATGTGGACAGCTCGGATATACGCTTGTAAGCTAACTTTATTCTGATGCAGCCGTTTTCTTTGAGTATTTACCAAGCAAAACCATTAATGCGAAGGGAGCAAAAACGGTTTGGGTGAAGTGTAGCGGCAAGGACAAGGAGCGCACCACAGTGATGCTGCTGGGTGATTGGCAAGGTGCAGCGGGGCTGCCGTAGCTTTAGCGTCAGAGGAAGACGTTCGACTCAAAGAGTCACTAATACTAAGTTCCTTATCCAAAGGACACTTACAGCCCAAGACCAGGGCTCAAAGTTAACACCTTAACTTTTATGCTTCAAAACCAGAAGTGATTTATTTACTTTTATTGCGGCCAAGCCGCCTAGGGGTAAATGTATCTCTTTAACTATCTAGCATAGTTAAACCTAATCAAATGCATAACGTGTGGCTTTCAGCCAACGTACTGAGAGACCTTGTTAACTCTCCAACTTATGTACTGAGAGTTTGTTAACTCTCCGGGTACTTCGTACCCCTGTGTGTTCCACACCATGTAACCCCGTTACACTCTCCCTCACTAAGATGAGAACATTCCGTTCTCGAACTTTCCTCAGCGAGGTCACGTCTTGTCAAGACGACGGAGGTCACTAGACCTCACCTGTGCGTTCTGCAGCTCCACGAGCTCACAAACGCGTTCGCATCCTTGATGCCTGGCAATCCCACTCCGGCCCACGGCCCAACGTCTCCAGCGCGTCGCGCCGCCCCTGCCTCGTCGGTCCCAGACCCCCAACTGCGCTCCGCAACTGCTCCAAGAGCATCTTCGTCTCTTTCGGTGGCGGAGTACCACCAAGAGTATCGCCGTCGACACGGTCAACGCTCCATGAGCCGTCAACAAGAAGAGAGCAAAGCTCAAAGCTCGTCAGAGCCGCGGGCGCCGCCCAGAGGGAACGATGGTCTTCTCGGAACTCGAAGAGGGCGAAGTCGATTACGACGAGCCCATGGGTAGTGAGGATCACTCCAACCCAACCTCTCCGAGGTCGCACGCTGGTGCCGCGTCTTCCCCAGCTTCCTCTGTGAGGTCTAGCCGCTCAACGGCGCGATCTCCAACAAGAAGAGACCTGCGGACACCGCATCCGTTCTCTGAACGTTCGAATCCGTTTCGCTCGCTGCGCGATGCGCCACCGCTATCGTCGCGGTATGACGAGGAAGATCGATACGATCACAACGTCATTACGAATGACCTGGACGAGGCCCAAGGCCGTCAGTTGTCCAATGAGCAGCACTCGCAGTCGTTCCGACCTGTGGTCCGACCACTTGTTCTAACGTCACGCCGTGACTACGGCTTCCAGCCGCGGAACCCTGCCGAAGCGGCCCGCCTCGCGGCGCAGCAGCCGCTGAACACGTACACGTGTGGGCCTGCGGCCTCGACTGCTGATGAGCAAGTGCAACGGCACCGGCTCCGAGAGCGATATCTGACTCCACAAGTCACAACTCCTCAGGAGTATCAGGCGCGCCTGCAGATGCAGCTAAACCGCCAACCGGTTCCCTCTATGCGAACCATCCCGGTTGTTCTCAACCCTGGGGAATCCCAGCGTGCTTATGAAGCACAATTCCGAAGCTGGGTGGAGGGAGCTCGACGGCTCCCCTCCTACAATGCTCTTCGAGCAAGTTTCTCTGAAACTGATATTCGTCTTGAGAGACGTTTGCGCTTAGACTTCGCTAAGTCGAAAGCACGTCGACGAACACTGGGACCCCGTCCCCATCACCTCGAGGCGTCACCACCTCTTGCTCATGCTGCGAGCACCGCTCTTTCCTATGAGCCGGCTGCTCCAGCCACTGGTCGGAGCTTGAGCTCAGCCACCGACCTGTCATCCCCGCGTTCTAGCGGCGGGAAGCGCTCGGCGCCTGACGACGCGGTCGTACGCCGTAGCGGCGGGGCAGTGAGTGTGCCCGATCAAAAGCGTCGACGACGTCAGGGCAGTCCTGCCGGAGGACAACCTCAAACTCCCAAGAGTTTTGTGAGTGAGGATAACCCCTCCATTTCACAAGGTACTGAGTACGACCCTGGCGCCTGCGCCTCGCCACCAGGCGTTCCACATGGAAGTGGAGCTCGCCGTGCTCGTCGAGCAGAGCAGGAGGAGGCCGAGCCTCAGCTGGACTCTCGCGTCGCGAGTCGCAGCGACGTGTTCGCGCTGGAGCAACGTGTGGGTTCCCTGAACCAGTATCTCCATGATACGACTGACTCTCTGAGTCGCCTTGCAGATGGTCTCGATGAGACGAACCACCGCGTGGACTGGTTTGAACAACCACAGTCGGTTCAGAACCGAGTCGTGGACCTTGAGCGTCAAGTCGCTCAGCTGCAAGGTCAGATCGACTTGCTGTTGCGTCTTGTGGCCCCGCCACCTGCTGTCGCTCAGCCTGCCGTGGTTCGGCCTCCCGCTGTTGCGCAGCCTGTCGTGGCCCAGCCACCGTTGGCGCCAACGCCTCCGCGCTCACCTGAGCAGGGTCCTGATACGGCTTGAGTAAGCCAACGTAGAAGACTGGATGCGTGCGCATCTTCTTCGGAAGGTTAAGCGTATACGCTAGGCCCTTCTTGGCCACGACCTTGAACGGTCCTATGAACCGTGGTCTCAATTTTGTCTTAAAGACTGCAGACACTGCATGAGTAGGTAGGTTTTTTGCATTTAATAAAACTTGGTCCCCGACCTCAAACCTTTCTTCATTGCGTCTGCCTTTGGCATCTGCATGTTCTTTTTGCATATCTTGGCTTTCAGCCATAGCGTCGCGTACTTGACGCATTACGCTTAGTCTCAAAGAGACAAAGTCATTGACTTGCTTGCGAACCGCAACAGGGCTGACATCAGCTAGCCGCTCGGCTATCCCTCCCCCATCAAGCCCTGAGCCACTGCGTGGCGGCGTCAGTGGGACTTGAGGGTTAACCAAGCCGTTCACATAGAACGGAGTGTAGCCTGTCGAGGCGTGCACTGCATTATTTAATGCGAACTCGACGAGTGGGAGCATCTGGCTCCAGCGTTTTGGCGCCTCAGCGCATACGCTTCGGAGGATATCCTCCACAACGCGATTCACGCGTTCTGTTTGACCATCGGTCTGCGGATGGTCCGCTGTGGACATGTCCAAACGAGTGCCAAGCACTCCGAAGAGGGACGTCCAGAACTTCGCGGTGAAGCGCGGGTCTCGATCCGAGACAATTGCCTCAGGCAAGCCATGTTGGCGAAAGACTCGGTCTAAAAACAGCAAAGCTGTACCTTCACCATCTATGGTGTCCGGCACCGCCGCTAAATGAGCCATCTTGCTCAATCGGTCTACAAAGACCACAATACCCGTGTTTCCTGCCTTGTCCTTGGGAAGGCCAAACACAAAGTCCATACTCATGGACTGCCAACATCCCTTGGGGACAGGCAAACTCGCCAATGGCGCTGCCGTGCTCGGCGCGGACTTCGTCCGTTGACACGTCTCACACGTGCGTACATAGGTGCCAACCCACTTATACATCTTGGCCCACCAGTACATCGAGCTCACCGAGCCATAGGTCTTCTCCCGACCTAAGTGCCCGCCCACGGGCGTATCATGAACCTCATAGAGGATTCGATACTTTAGATCCTCATCATGAGGAACGACTACACGAGGGTTATCCTCAGAGTCGGTGCTGTAGTACAGCAGGCCGCCATCGAGCGAGTATCGATGCAGCCTCGCGCGTAAGCGCCCAGACAATTCCTTGTCAGAGTCTTTA